AAATTAATTGAGATATAAATAATAAAATAACTCATATCAATTAGCTTCGATATGTGTGGATTTGATAGATGCTTTTTTTTTTTAACGGGTTCGAATTGAGTTTTTTTCAAAAACATCCAAAGTCAAAGTCCAAGGCGAGTTTATAGTATTTCATATTTCTTTGATTATATATATTAAATTATATTTTAATTATTTATTTATTTATATATATATATGATATTAATAAAATTATTATTTAATCTTTTAATTTAATAAAAATATTATATTTACATATAATTATGATGCAATTCATTTGTATAAATTTGAGTCATTTTACTTTTATTTGATCCTCATTTAAGGCTTTACCGTGACATGTTTCTTTTTTATGGTTTTTTTTTTGTTTTTTGCTTTTTCTTTAAATTTTTTTTAGACTTTTTATTTTTTATATCCATAATATTAATTTTGTAGATTTTGGATGAAGGCAAAGGTGTCCACGTGGCACCCCACCTTTCCACTAAAATCTCTATTTAAAATTTTTTTTTGTTATTTTACTTTTTGATTTTTTTATTAAGATCATAAAATAATCAAAATCCAATATTTTTTAATCAAGGTTATAAACATCATATCGGATAATATTTCAGTTTTCTTTAAAAAATGATATATGTTGGTACTAATTGTTTAGGCATATTATTTCTAATTTTTTGATTTAGTATAAATGTATTTATAAAATATACATGAACTTATTCATAATAATACTAGTAATAATCTACAAAGTAAATATGCAATATCTTCCAAAATTAAATAAATAAGTTTAAAAGTATAAGAAATAATATCATCAATTTATCATGATATTTTTAAACACTTAATCTGATCATATAATATTTCAATAAGTAATTTTCTTTTTTCATATAATATTAAGATAAAAATAAAGAGATGAGAAAAATAATCTTGACTTTATGATTATTAAACTTTGTAAAGGGAGCATGATTGTTTTCTTAAAAGAGATTGAAATACTTATGAATTTTAGTTCAAAAAAATAAAGTATAAAAAAAAGTTACAGTAAAAAATAAAGAAAATCAACTTTCAAGGGTTATTTTGTCAATTAATTTTATTTTTATTAGGTTAAAAATAATCAAATAAGAATAGACAAATTAAAAATAGTAAAACATATTTCATATTTATGTACCGATCGAAAAAAGAAAATCTATCAAAATTCACCTAAACTATCCAAAACCAATAAAAATAACCGGTATTGCCCGATACCAAGTTCAATATGAAAAATGTCCTTTAAATATATCTGTTTTGATATAACTTAAGTGTACCAATCAATACAACCAATATTGAAACGAAATTAATAACATTGATTTTAATTCACCTCAGTCCAATTGATACATTTTTTTTAAATCAAGGTTTTTTTTTTTTTTTAACATCGAGATTAAGTCAGAGATGATTTAGGATATCCTGTCACGTCTTAGATATATATAAAAATATCTTTTTTAGTTTTTGATTTTATATTTAAATATATGTATTATATTAATAAAATTATTATTTTATACTTTAATTTAATAAATCTATATAGTATCCGTTTGACTTACTTTTCTTTTCTTTTTTTTTGTCATCTTTTTTGTTTTAGTTTTAGTTTTTAGTTTTTAGTTTTTTTATTTTTTAACTTTTTTAATTAGATAAATTTTGTAAGGAAAAATTAATTGAAATAAGAATGATAAAATAATTATTATCTGATGGGTTCTGATTCACCTCGATCCAATAGATACAATTTTTTTAAAATCCAAGATCAAATTAAGATTATTTTGAAAATCAAGCTCAAGTCGAAGGCGAATTTAAAGTGCTACATCATATCTCCAGTATATTAAAAAAATATATTTGATTATTTATTAAATTTATATTTATATATATTATATTAATATAATATATATTTAATATTTTATTTCAAAAAAATTATACTTATACATAATTAAGATATATATTTATATTAAATAATTTTGATCAATTTGGGTTGGATATGGATTATACATATATATAACAGGCTAAGATCATATATCAATAAATAATAATTCAATGTTGGGTCAAAATTAAAGTTGAGTTGAATTATTAAAAAAATGAATTATAATTGAACTCAGCATAAACTCGTTATGACATGTTATCTTTAAATGGATGTATTCATTAGCATCCTTATTAATGTGGTTGTTTTTTTTTCTTAACTGCTTGGGCTTTTTTTATATATTTTTTAATTATCTATTTTAATATATTTATATATGTTTGGAAAAATAAATTGACAATAAAAGTGATCATGTGACATTCCATTTTTTTTCCTTTTTTAACCCTTCCTTTTGTTGTTTTTTTAGTTTTTTCCTTTTTTATTTTTTTAAATAAAATAAATTTTATATAAAATAGAGTCGGTGTAAGTTGAGGTGTTAAAACAACACATATCTAATTGTTTTCGATCTGATTGAAGTTAATCGAGTCAAGATCGGATAATTTTTCCTTTTTGAAAAAAAAAAGTCAGATCAAAAGTGAGCTTAAGGTGTTTTGTTCCACCCCCTTTCAAGGTATATATATAAGAATTTACATTTTATTTATTTAAGTTAATTTTATATATATTATATAAATAAAGTTATTATTTAAAATATTTTTTAATAAAATAATATATTTAAATATGATTAAGATGTAATTTATATTAAAAAATTATATTTCATCAATGTTATACTATTAAATTGATTTTTGGTTAAGTTAAATTGAATGAGGGTTATATATATGTTGAGTTGGGATCAAATATAAAAAGTAATAACTTGATACTGAGTGAAAGTAAGGACAAACATAAGCCCGCTCCTACCTAACCCTTTAGCATCCTTAAGTGAAGCTGTCAACGTGATACCCTTATTTAATTCTTTTTAATTTTTTTCCTTTCGCTTGGGCCTTCTTTTTTTCTTTTTTTTAGTTTTAGCTTTTTTAAATTATTTATTTAAATATTTTTAACTATGTTTAGGAAATAAATTTGAAAACATGGATTTCTTTTGAATTTGTTATACAAGTTATCGAAATGAAATGCATATATTATCCATAAATTAATTGATATAATTTCTCTAATTATTGCTTTTATTCAAAAATTATAAATGAAATTATACTTACTAATTTATTAAATTCAATATTATTGAATACAAATAAAAAAATTTTGATCCCATAACAAATTACGTTAGTTTAGATAAATTTTGTGAAAAATTAATATAGGTGCCCATGTAATACTCTAATTTGTTTTTTTTTTTTTTTGACTTTTTTAATTAAATAAATTTTACAACAAAAGAAGCTAAAGGATAAGAATGATCAAATAATTTATATTTGATGGATCCTCACTTAATTGAGATGTCTATATAGTACTCTAAAGAGCTTTCTTTTGTTTTTTTTTTTTCTTAAATGTTTTAATTTTTTTCTTTGATTTTGTCTTTTTTTTTAATCTTTTTAATAAAAATAATTTTGTAAAAAAAATTATGTATGTGTTTACATGGTACCTCATTTGGTCTTTTTTTTAATTTTTAATTAGATAAATTTGTACAAAATATGTCAATTGATAGAGATATCAAAATTATTTATATCTAACGGGTTTTGATTTGTTTGAATCCAATAAGGGGTGATCTTTTTAATCGAAATTGGGTTAATATGGATAGAGTTTTTTTAAAGAAAAATGAGATTTGATTGAAAGTGTATTTACAGTGATTTATCCCAACCCTTTTTAAGTATTTATAAAAATATATTTTTTATTATTTATTTAGTTTTATATATATTATGTATTATATTAATAAAGTAATTTTTCACCTTAATTTAAGAAATTTATATTTTAAATTCAATATTAGATGTCAATGTAGTGCCATCTATTAGCGTTTTTTTTTTTTTTTTTTTACTCATTTTTAGTTTTTTTCCTACTTTTTTAGTTTGCCATTTTCCCACTTTTTCCACTTTTTTTGTTTTTTATTTATTTTTAGATTAATTTTATGAGAAAAGCATACCAACTAAGATATCACATTTCATTCCTATTTTTTTTTAATTTGATAAATTTCATAAAAAAATACAATGAATAGGTATAATAATACAAAAAAAAAAAATTTGTCTATGATTACATCAAGCAATTTAAAACAAAGACACAATAACCTCGTACAAAATCGTTATGAAAAAGATATGAAAGTGACATATGCTAAAATTTTAATAAAAATTATATAAGAGTTGAACAGAAATCCAAAAATGTATTTCATAATTTTTTTATATCGAAATAAATTATAATAAGTAATTTTCGTATAAAATATAATATGAATTTTTATTATTTTATACAACACAAACATAAAAATTGTTAGGTCTATCCGCTGTAACGTGCGGCACCTTTCTAGTTATTATTATGCTTTCAAAATTTTTCTTGCCTTGAATCTAGATCATGTTTGACACAGAACCTTTAATATTTATATATGGATCATGCTTGACGCAGAACCTTGTACATTTGTCTTATCTGATGGACAGGTATTTTAAGATGCATCTTCTAGAAGTGTTGGCTAGATGAGAAGGCGAAAGGTGACAAATTTAAATTCTGACCACTGGAGTGAAATATAACAGCAGATTCATTCGTGACAAAAGAAAAGTTCAAGTCCAAGTGATAGGCATCATTTGAGACCAGGACACCTATTCTGCATTTTAAATGAGGAACCTCGAGGTTCATATTTTGGAGTATCACACGCCGAGGGTCGAAAGTAGAAAAGCCATTTATTAATTAAGCTCAGCTTAGAATTTAAACGATAAGTACCCAAAAGGCCAAGAATTCATTGTTCCTGAATTAACACAGAACTTTGCCAAAGTACTCAGAAATGGAAACACTAGAGTTCAGAAAGCGACTGCTGTCTATGACTTGACTATTACTCTGAATCAAGATTGTCCTGATTAATCTGCCAACGAATTGATTGCGGAAACTTGCCCCTGCCTTGTTTTTGTGCAGAGAAAGTGGAAAGCATAATAGAATCTACAGCTTATATTTCACCATCCCACAGTTCTTCGAGGCTCTTGTAAGGACTACAAGTTTCATGTATAGCAAATTCCCCTCGGAGGAGCCTTTGCTGCATAAGAAAAAAAAGGACTTATTCAGTGATGGGCAATTGAAATTCTTTATTATGCATGCATGTTTGTCCATGTGATGAGCCATCTCTTCCCGCAAGATACAAACACGAGACAAGGCATGTTTACCTGGTGGATGCCTGAGAATTTCGAGAAGAGCTCAGGAGGTATGGACCAATCAAACAAGTTTAAATTTTCCTTGATCCTAGACTCGTTCACACTTTTTGGAAGGACACTGTGTCCACTCTGAATACCCCAGCGCAGGGCAACTTGTGCTGGAGACTTGTTAAGTTTTTCAGCAATCTCAATCAAAATTGGTTCCTTCAAGATTTCTCCTTTAATCCAAGACCCTGGAGATCCTAGAGGGGAATATGCCTGGAAGAATATTCACGATCATATGATTCAAAAATCAAGGATTTGTGAGTATATTATGATTAAAACTTAATAAGGGTTTTACCGATACATGAACTCCAGTGGACTTGCACAAGCTGTGTAGAGCAGGCTGCTGCCAAACTGGGTGACATTCTACCTGATTGACAGCAGGAGGAACTTTTGCAAACTTGAGCAGGTCCTGCAGCTTCTTAGTCGAGAAGTTGCTGACTCCAATGGCCCGAGCCTGGCCAGATGCATACAAGCCCTCCATTGCACTCCATGTCTCTGGAAGACAAAGGGGAGCCATGATTTCAGGCTCCCATCCTCTCATTCCAGGCTTTGTACGAAATGGCCAATGTATCTGTAATGTAAAGGTCAAATTTTAGTGTTTTTCAATCATTATAATGGAAATAAACTAAAATAGCAGATTTTCATTGATGAATTGAGGCAAGATGAATTCTGTTTTCAGTGGTAATTTTGAAATCTTCCTATTAGAACTAAGGGCAATTAACATACAAGATACAGATCAATATAGTCAAGTTGAAGGTCTTCAAGCGTTCTGGTTAACGCCTTTGAGACGTCTTCAGGTGCATGGTCGCTACACCTGTCAAAAAAAAAAAAAAGGAATTTGAAGTCACAAGAGGCAGCCAGATTCTCTAACCTGAATATAAAATCTGGGTTTCAAAGCTTAAAGTCTTTCTGACAGCCATACAAACTATTCCTTTATGCAATCAGAGCTCAACACCAAAAAGGGAGAGAAAGATTAAAATAGATACCATAGTTTTGATGTGATGAACAATTCATTGCGCTTCACCAGTTCTGTGGAAAACAGTCCCTTCAATGCAAGCCCAATCTACATTTCATGAAACATATGCAGCAAAAGAAACAATCAGCTATATCTAGTGACATTTGTAAACAAATTTGGAATTTTTTATTTTTTAAAAAAGGGACAAGTTTACCTCTTTTTCATTATCATAAATATGGGCACAATCGATGTGCCTATAGCCAGCCTGCACAAAAATGGTACCAGAATATTCAAAGCTTCAGCAATTACTTTCCATTTTAACAGTAATAAAACTTGAAATTCATCTGAACTATATGCTTTCTGCGGCAATAAATGTACCAATGTTCAATCTTGTTATACTACAAAATTCCACCTAGATCCTCAAAGTACATTGATGAAGCAACTAATTTCTGGGCAGAATAAAATTGATGAAAATGGGATCGTTCATGAGTAATGAAGGGAAAACTTATAGAATTGGTTCTAATACAAGGAAGAGCAGGAAGAGAAACATAACAAAGGCGATAAATTAAAGATAAAACCTTGACTGCAGCAATGATAGCTTCACCAACAACACCTGGAGGAGCTTTCCATGTTCCCAAACCAACAGATGGCATCTTAGCTCCGGTGTTAAGTTCAAAATAAAAAGGTCCATGTCCAGTTTCCTTCTCCATTTTTCTCCACAGGAATAACCGAAACAAAGAGCAAACACCCAATTACAGTAATCAACTAGCAGTACTATATTGCAATGCAACTGAAAAGGAAACAATTTCAAAGACATAACTTGTTTGATCCGAATAATAAGCAGTAGCTCTTTGGAATAGGTTTGTGGCAGAAAGGGAAAAAAAGATAAAAACCAGATTAGAAAATCTCGATTCTTCAGCTCCAGACCCCGAAACTGGTGGGATAGTTTAGGCTGATCAGGTTGTCATATGTCTACAGAATTGCACATGTAACATGTTTATATACATTGATATCGGAAGTATCAGATTCATTTATATTAGAATCCTAGCATTAACAAGTTGGATCTTTCTAAGAACTCCAAAAAACAAGAAAACACTTAAAGAAAAATGCTCATGGCATACGTCTCTTAATGAAATTGCCGTTTCCTACAAACCAGCTATAGAGGTTAAGCAAAAATTAGGCATACCAACTCTCAATAAAATATACCAACACCTTTTTGTGATGAACAGTCATGATTTACTTAGTCTAAGTAAGAATGTGAGTGGCAAACCTGAAATTAGTATATTATTGTATTTTTTTTCTTATAAAAGTATATTATTGTATTAGATCAATGAAATTGGTGAGAAAATTTATATCAACTTAATTAAAACTTTTTTAAGCAAAAATAAGAGGATATTTTTTTATTGAAAATTTTAAAATTTAAATACTGATCATTAAAATTAAAAACCAAATACTTTATTAATAAGTCATGTTAGCAAAATAAGAAGGTGTTATAAGTGGGCGTTCAACTTTTTTTTTTTTAATCAAATTACTTGATTTTTGATTAATTGGGAACTCTGATAACTTTGAGCATCTTCCTTTGATACATCACTTTTTAATGATGTGATTGGTGTTTACATACAAAGACTTGCAAAGACTTGTTAAGTAATTGCAATATTGCAGGATATAGGCATATAACTTAATATAAATTGGGCAGTTTAGCGGGATTAAAACATTCTTTAAAACTAGCATCGCTCACGTTTTTTTTACGGGTCTAATTTTTTCTTTTGTAATTAATAATATTAAATTTAATAAGTCAGTGCAAATTTTGTTACAATTTTTTAGAAAAACAATGATTAGTAAAAGTTTATTAACTAATTTATGGATAATATATGCATTTCATTCTTATAATTTGTATAATCAACCAAACTTAAATGTATTCTTTCAAATTTATTTTTTTAAACATAATTAAAAATATTAAAATAGCTAAATTGAAATAAAAATGTAAAACTAAAAAAAAAAAGAGGCCCAAACCAAAAAAAAATAAAAATCAAATGAAGATGTCATATGGACACCTCTACTTAGGGATAGTAATAAGTCGAATAAGGGTAGAAGTGAATCTAGAGGGGGGCAGCCACTTCCCCCCCCAAAATGAATAATTTGGCCTTTCTTTACGAACAATTGTAATGATACCGTGAATTTTATAAATTGTTAAAAAATTTACTTTTAAATACAATAAATAATTTAATTTTTTCTTTTTCAATAAAAAATTTCTTTTTTAATTTAATTATTATTATTTCATTGAATTTTTTAGTTCCTTAAAATAAAAAATTCTTTTCAATTAATTGAGCTGTTGATATTAATTATTATGTCAAAATATTTATTTATATAGGGAAAAAATATAATTAAAAGAATTCAATTACCTACCTATATTGTGCACATAGAATTATAAACTTAATTGTATATTATAATTTTTTTGTTTTTTTACCAAAACTTTTCATTTGTAAAACTCAACCTTTTAACGTATTATTTTTATTCTTTATTTTTTAAAAAAATTATTAGTTAGATTTTAATTGTTCTTAAATATCCAATCAATTTCTTTTAATCATAAAAAAAACTTAATTTTTTTTATTTAATTACATTTATTATTTTATTTAACATTAATCTTTTTATTAGATTTTTATCAATTCATCTTACTTTTGTATCAACCCCTCTAAATTAAAAAACCTGGCTTTGCCCTAAGTAAAGATAGATTTATGTTCATCTCGATCCTAATAGGATATCATATTATTATTTTTTATATCCAATCTCGAATCGACGTATATGCTTATAATCCACACCCAGCTTGTTTTGACCAAAAATCAATTCAATAATATAACATTCATGAATATTTTATTTTTTATTTCTAATCTATATTGAACCCTTTATTTTACTATTTATCAGTGCATAAATTCTCTTGTAATTTTTAAATATCAATTTTAATGATATATCAATCAATCAAAAGGATAATTGACAATATAAAAGACATCTTAATTATATACAAATATATTATTTTATTAAATAAAATGTATTAAATAATAATTTTATTAATATAATAATATAAATAAAATTAAATAAATAACAAAAAATATATTTTTATTTATATGTCATGGCAGAACAAGACAAAACATTCTAAACTCACCTTCAATTTAACCTTGATTTTAACTAGATAAGTCATTCTACCTTTGACTCAATTCCAATTTTAAAAAATGGTCTTTATTTGTGCCATAGGATATGAGTTGCTTTGACACTTTGCCTCGACTGATACAACTTAAAGTAATTTAAAAAAAAACTGATCCAATCTTAGATTTAAAAAAAAAAAAACATATATATTTGATCAGGGTGAATCAAAACAATATAAGTGGTTTTATCATCTTTACCTTCATTAATTTTTTTTACCAAATTTATCTAATAAAAAAATAAAAATTAAAAAAAATAAAAAAACTAAATAAAAGTGCCATATAGATTTATTAAATTAAGATATTAAATAACAATTTTATTAAAATAATACATATATAAATATAAATTTAACAAGATAATAAAAAATTATTTTTATATACTATCCTGAATAAAACGAAACATCTTAAATTTGTTTTAAACGAAACATCTTAATTTTCAAAATTAAAATAAAATCTCAACTTGATATCCATTTTAAAAAAATGCATCAATCTAGAACGAATCAAAAAACTTTATGTTTATTGACTTTATTCTTACAAACATTGTTTAATAAAAATAAATGAAATCTTTTAATAAAAAAAATCAAAAAATAAAAAAAAAATGTAGATTTTGGAGGAAAGGTAAGGTGTCACATGGACACCCCCCACCTTTCTCCAATTTCTACAAAATTAATATTATAAATGTAAAGTACAAGAAAATTCATGATAATTATAGAAAAATTATTATTTGATACATTGTAAATTTTTAATTTTATAAGCGGTGCTAAGAAACTTACACATGTTTCACTTTTTAATTAGTTTTTTTTTATTTTTTGTAAATTATAAGTGCAAAAGAAATTATAATTATAATCAAAGATTATATTTATATAAGAAATCAAATATTTATAATCAAATATTATATTCATATGAAAAATCATTGAATAATCAAACAACAAATAGAATATAACTAGACAAATGAATATAAAACTAAATCAAATTCACACAAACTAAAACAAAATTAAATAAATCTATCGTAAAATTAAACTAAACTCGTACGTATTTGAATTTGAATATAAAATCTCATGATCCTATAATCTCATCTTTACCATTAAGCCAAAAGAGTTTTTTTAATTTTTTTAATAAACTTGGTATACGTTAACCTTACTTGTAAAAAGTGTAAAAACTTTTATCACTTTGACTAGTTTTAGTCAAATTAGTTCAAAATTAATTTTAACAAATAAGATAAATCTAGAGAGAAAAATTTGTAGATGGACGATGATCTTTCCAAAAAAGAAAGATCAAGAAAACACTAAGGGAGAAGAAAGGAGTCAGTGATTCTCAGCAAACCCTTAGTTAGAAAAGCAAAGTAATCATCAAGGCATGAAATATGATACTAGTAATAATATTTAGGTCCTTTATGAGCAATAAGATAATTAGGGTCATCTATCTTCTTAATAGACAGGCTACGAATGAAAATCTGTCAATCTGTCGTGGAAAAAAAGTGACACCAAACTCCAAAGAAAGACCATTTCTTTTCAACACATTCATGGTAAATTAGATTAATCATATCTGTCATCCGATGAAGTTCCATCATGGGATCCTAATTCAGCTGTGTCATATTCATATTCGGCCAATCACTGTACTGGACTATTAACCTTGTCGTCAACCAAAACTTTTTTACATTTTCATCCTGATATTTTCTAAGGCCGGCGTTTGGGCGTTTTTTGTCCAATTCTACCGAAGCAATCCATTTGAATTGCAACGGTGGAGTCGTTCCCACCTTCAAAGGGAAAAGATGCTTCTCTTGGCATGGCCAATCTCAGTCATTCATTCCAAAATAAAATGAGATATAAGAAGCACGAAAACTGCAAATTGTTTGGGTAGTCTGTGTGCCACAAACATGCATGTCAACCTTCAAATTTCAAGGTTATTCATGGCCAATTAATCCAAATTCCAGAAAATTAAATGAAACCGAGATGAAAATCAATAACGGTTTATTATAGTTGTGTAGCACAAATATTCTTTAGTTGCTGAACTGATAGACACAATCTGTATCGAAAGAAGTACCAGAAACCTCCCTCTTTGTTCTCCCCCCACCCCAAAGGGCTTCTTCTTTGATCCAGAATTCAATCGCTCAAATCTCACCATCCCAAAGTTCTTCAACAGTTTTGTATGGGCCGAAAGTCTCATGAACAAATGAAGTTCCCCTGAGCAATCGTGCCTGCATAATTGAAAATAGAGCATTATTCAGGAGAAATGATGGTGGAGCAATAGTGAATCAGAATTTAATCAAATGCGTCACTAGTTAGCATTCACTATTATTGAATACCAACAGTTATTAGTAATGTAATAGCTACTAGCCTGTTCAATTTCAGAAAACTTTGCAAATAAGTCCTCAGGAATAGACCAGTCAAAGACATCAAAGTTCTCCTTGATCCACTTCTCATGTGTGCTCTTAGGAAGCACACTATGACCCATTTGCAGACCCCAGCGAATGACAACTTGTGCAGGACTTTTGCCTAATTTCGTTGCAATCATATTTAGAATTGGATGCTTAAGAACATCACTCTTGAGCCATGTTGTGCCAGGAGAACCCAGAGGCGAATATCCCTGAAAAATTATATATATACATACCACTTCATTATTTTTGACTTACACAATGGCAAAGCCATATATTAATATTTGCCCAATCAAAGGCATTAGAAGTCTCTTCTTGTAATTGAATCAAATAATAGTCTAACACAGTGAAACAAGATTAGAATGCTCACCGATAAGTGAATTCCCTTGGATCTGCAAAATTCATGTAGCTTAGTCTGCTGCCACGAAGGATGACACTCAACCTGGTTGACAGCTGGAGGAACACGCGCTACCTCCAGCAAATCTCCCAATTTCTTTGAAGAGAAATTACTAACGCCAAGAGCCCTAGCTTTACCAGAGTCATAAAGCACTTCCATTGCTTGCCATGTACTAGGTATGTCTGGCTGAATAAGGTTTTCATGCTTAAAACCAACCGACCCTTTCTTCATCCGAACGGGCCAATGAATCTTAAAAACAAACACCGTCATATTAGTCACAATTGAAAAATATCTTCAATAACACATCAGGATACTCCAACGTCTAATGATGAAAACTCAACAACTTTAAAACGTGATTCTTAAAACTAGATAACTGCAAAGGTAGCAAAACTAAGAAGACTATATGATCAGGCAATAATTTCCACCTAGGATCAATATTGAATGACCCTGTGTTTAGAACTGCCGTAAACCAGCACACTCAACAGTATAATTAACAGTGAAATGGGTTAGACAATGTAGGTTGGATCAAGCAATACATACAAGGTATAAATCAACGTAATCAAGTTGAAGATCCAGCAAAGTCCGGTCTAATGCTGCCGGCACATCTTCGGGTGCATGATTACTACACCTGTGCATAACTTAATTTTAGAGAGTAATTTTTTAATAAAAGAAAATCCATGGATAAACAGAACATAAAAGATCGAAAACGAACCAGAGTTTGGAGGTGATAAACAACTCCTCACGTTTGACTACACCATCTTCAAACAGCTTCTTCAAAACCCCACCAATCTAAAGCAAATAGAGACATGCACGCAATAATTTACTATTCAATTAATAAAACAAAAATTTAACTTTAACTATTCGACTAGTATTATTTCTGCATCCAAACACCAGCTTTGCACTCTTTCTTCTTCTTCTTTTTTTTTTTTGTAAAATACTATAGAAAAACCTAAACAACGATTGGTCGCACTAAATAAAGTAAATAATTTTTTTCTTTTGCAAAAAAGAAGGAAAATTTTGTGGCCAAAACAGGGCATAAATCTACCTCCTTTTCGTTTCCGTACGCTTGAGCGCAATCGATATGGCGGTATCCAATCTGAAGCCAACAGGAAAACAAACATTTAATTATCGAAAGTTTTTTCTTTTAAAAAGAAAAAAATATCTTTTTTTTTCTTTTTGAGAAAACCGAAAGATGTAACAGTCAGCGAACCGCATTTCCAATGAAGACAAAACAAAAAATTATGAGGAATGATACGACCAACAACAGCGTCAACGATATACCTTGACGGCAGCGTCAACGGAGGCGCCGACGACGTAAGGGTCAGCCTGCCAAGTTCCCAAGCCGACGGACGGAATCTTGGCTCCGGTGTTCAACACGAAGAATCTGATTTCATTCGCCATTTGGAGAACACAGAGGAAGCGCGTAGACTGGACGCAAAATGCGAAAACGTGAAACACAGAGAAACGTAAGCGAGTGACTGAAACGAGAGAGTGACCGGTGACAACAACTAGAAGAAACGGACACTGCCACGCGGAAAACTTTATTTTATTTTTTATTTTTTAATTGAGAAGAGGGGATCAATTGAGAAATTTCATCATTTTTTCTGCCACATGCCAGTGAAAGACGACAATTGGTAATTTGACGGTGGTGATTTTTCCTTATTGTGATTTGCTTTGTTCTGGAAAAGGAAAAGTGGGCCTAAAGTTGAAAAGGCTACGGCCTGCATCTGTGGGGACCTTTTCTAGGATTTTGATTTTACTCCTATTTTAATTTTTTTTTAATTTTTAGTATACTTTATACTCTAAAGATTTATTTATTTAACTCGTTTGAAAATAATATTACCATTTAAATTTTTTTAAATTTGTAATTTTTAAAAATTTGATCAACTTGTAGGACATATAAACTAATACTCAATTGGTATTTATTTTTAAAATTATTAGAAGCAACCCTTATATTATTATAAAAAATTTAAGTTTAGTTCTTCATGCATATAATATGATAAGATCTTAACTACAAAATTTAATTTTGAAATGTGTATGTATTGTCTAAAAAAAGCTTATGAAAGTACATCCATTTAGTTTATCTCATAATTACTTTTATGAAATTATGTCTTATAATAATTGTAGATATAATCAAACTATTTTTAACATTTATCACGTAAAAAAATAATAAATAAATCTTCATAAGTCGGCATTGATGGAACTTGAACATAGGTGGGGTACAAAGAATTTTTTTTTTAATGGTTGATAAGAACTCATTTGGCAATGAAAAATGGAAAAAAGAAAAGGACCTCATTTGACCCTTGTTTTGTGGAGTATTGTTGTTGATCAGAAAAATCAGTGAGATTCATTGGTCGAAATAGCCTAGTTTGTTGGTGGGGAATTCTAGCATTTGCTTGGTCCCGACTAAGGACAAATAGCTTAGTGACACAGCTCTGGTGGAAAATGACTGAGGTCGGCAACTAGCCGTGGTCCCTGGTCCATTTAGGGTGACAACATCCAGGACCTAATCATCCAACCTTCTTATCTGTTTTTTTCCTAGTGCTATTTTGCAATGGAACACTTCAAATTTTTCCTAGCCATGTGAGCAAAATGAAAAGATAAAAAATCCTTGATTCATCCAAATAACATTGGAAGTTATATTATCAAGCTGTTGACTCGAGGCAATAGAAGTTACACCCACATGGTATACTGCTGCTTCACTTATTTTAGTACTAGTACTTAATCAAGTATCAGCATACCAACAATGAAATCTGCTACAGCATTTTTCTTATTTTAGTACAACTAGTGGTAACTTTGCTTGATCATTAGGCTAGGCTACCAAACTCCCATGTATTTTCATATCTCACCATCCCATAGTTCTTCAACGCTCCTGTATGCACCATATGTTTGGTGGACGAAGAAAACGCCTTTGATCAGCCTCTCCTGGAAGATACAAAACATGAAATCAGTAATCTCGACTAGACCAAAAGCAAGGTCCTCTTCGGACCTCAATGTTTTGGAACCCTAATCTCCACAAATAGAATTGAATTAACATGACTTGCCTGCTCAATTTCAGAAAACTTGACAAACAAGTCTTCGGGTATAGACCAATCAAAAACATCGAAGTTTTCTTTGATCCTCACTTCATTTGTACTCTTAGGCAAAACACTGTGACCCATTTGCAGCCCCCAGCGGAGAGCAACCTGAGCAGGGGACTTGCCCAATTTCTCTGCAACCATAATCAGCACTGGATTCTTGAGAACTTCGATCTTAACAGTTCCTGTGCCTGGGGAACCCAATGGTGAAAACCCCTGAAACAATGACCATTAATATTCTTAATTTGTTAGTATTACGTTAGTTTATTCAGAGCAAAGTTAATTTGCATGGTAGAAGCAGAAAGCATAAACATCAACCTCAAACTTCAACTTGAGTTGGTTACTTTTGTTCAACCATAAATACCATCATAAACTTAACTTACTAAAGTATCTATTTATGCATACTCACAGTTAAATGAATTCCCTTAGATTTACATAATGCATGTAGCTTAGGCTGCTGCCATACGGGATGGCATTCCACTTGGACTACAGCGGGAGGAATGCGAGCCACCTCCAACAGATCTCCAAGCTTCTTCGAAGAGAAATTGCATACTCCAATAGCTCGAGCCTTCCCAGAGTCATAGAGTGCCTCCATTGCTCTCCATGTACTGGGTATGTCAGGTTGCGTTAGGTCCTCGAGTTTAAAGCCAACTGCTCCCTTTTTCATACTGACGGGCCAATGAATCTTCAAATGTTTAAGAAACACCATAGTAAGAAAACATTTACAAAATGTGCATTTTTCTCCTAGGCATAACAGGGAAAAAAAAGTACCATAGACTTTGAGATTGGCTAGTTGTCAAATTTTGTACCTTCTTCTAACATTATATCAGTTTGAACACAAAATAAACTAGGAAAAAACATGTGTAATTGTCAGTGGAATTTAAAAAAATGGTTGTCTTAAAATCTATACTTACAAGATAGAGATCTAGATAGTCCAGCTGCAAGTCTTGCAAGGTACCATTCAATCCCTCTAGTACATCTTCTGGTGCATGATTAGTGTTCCTGACGAAAATTTATTGAATTCACTACAAGTCTTCAAATTGGGTAACTTGAAACATTGAATAAACTGAATGAACTACCCAAACTTTCCACGGAAGTTCTGATTGTCAAATAGCAATTTCAATATACAAATGATTAAAAAGGATTTTGAAATTGAGACAAACCAGAGCTTGGAGGTAATCCAAAGATCTTCACGCTTCACCACACCATCTTCAAAAAGCTTCTTTAGAACAAAACCAATCTGCATAAACCAAATTGTTGAATCATTAAAACTGAATGCATCAAAGGTATGTGCAACTCCAATATACATTTAAGAAGAAATAGAAACTCAACTTCAATCAATAAAGATGACAAACAAGTAAATTATGAAATGGTATTACGTAATTACCTCTTTCTCGTTCCCATAGAGTTGAGCACAATCGATATGCCGGTATCCATGCTGCATTAAAACAGAACAATTAACAGCCGGTCTTCCATTTCCCAAAATTTTCTACTCTTTGATATAGTTTGCATTGATTTGCTAATACTTGAATGAAAAGAGGACTTTTCCCATCCAAACAAGAAGAATGTTTATTGTTTATTTTCCTTCAAATAGTATTGGTAAAGTTTTAATGGAATATTTTCATGAATTCCAAACCTTACCTAAAACAAACCCAGTAAGTATACAGTTAGAAATTTTGAGTCAAAAGTCAAAAGCCTTATAATATTTAAGTATTTTAAGAGAGATGCAAAACAAACATCTCCACGGGTCGTGTGCATTAGAAAATTATCCAAAATCAAGTTTACCAAAACAGAACAGGAAAAAGAAAAAATTAAGAGAAAACACTACCTTAATAGCAATAGCAACGGCATTGCCGACAACTCCAGGAGCAGCCTGCCAAGTTCCTAGCCCTACCGAGGGCATCTTAGCCCCTGTGTTGAGCTCAAAATATCTAACTGCCAGAGCCATTTCCGCCACAGAATCATATGACCAATGGAGTCTTTTATATAGAGGAAGCAACAAAAAAGACCAATAATAGAGTCAATGAGCTTGAAGAGTAAGAGATAAGACATAAGACATAATACATTGTACATGGTAGGAGAGATAACATTAGATACGAAGCAGAATCGTGATAAGCTATGTCCATTCATTTCACGAGTGACGATTTACTCATAGCATCATCCCTTCGTACACGTGTGAGTTGTGACTACTCACCGGAAAGCTTTGCGTTTTTCTTCTTTCTGTTTTCCATTTTTTTTTCATGTCATTGATTATTAATGTTGGATTATGGCTTGGTTCAGTGATTGGCAGCTATTTTGATGCAATGGCACCATGGCAGACATGAGACACCTTTGACAATTGAACAAAGGGCGCTCCCTACCTCTTTTGACTAGAAACTTTTGCTGAGTTTTTTTTTCCTACTAGCATGATCGGTGCATATTGCCATGGATCAAAATTTTTTTTGTTATTTATATTTATCGGGTAATTTATTTAATTAAAAATTAAAAAAAATCAAATGTAGGTGACTGGTGGATATTTCAGTTGTTTTTTTTTTATTTAAATTTTTTCTAATTAAAATAATAAAATTAAAATTAAAAGGACAAAACCAAACAAAAAGTTTATAAAGAGTGCCACATTATACCTCATTAAGCTTAAAATATTAATTCTTTAAATTAAAATATCAAATAATAATGTTATTAATATAATAATAAAATTAATAATAAAACATATACTTTTATATATAACTTGAATTAGGTCAAGATAGAGCACCTTAAATTGACTTCCAAACCAATCTTATTTCTTCCAAAAAAATTAAACTTGCCCCTACTCTATCTCAACTTAAAAAATCATCTCCTATAAGATAGAAATAAATCGAAATCTATCGAATACAAATTGTTTTGATATCTCTATTAATTGATATATTTTATTGTAAATTTTATTTAACTAAAAAATTTCAAAGGAAAAAGCAAATGGGTGTGCTAGGTAAACACTTTCATTAACTTTTTTTTCATAAAATTAATTTACTTTAAAAAGGTATTAAAAAAAAAGAAAATAGAGCTTAATGTATTAAATTAAGGTATTAAATAATAGTTTTATAAATTAAAAAAATACAGATGAAAAAGGAAAAATTAACAAAGGAAAAAAAAAAGATCATCAAGATGTTACGTGGATATTTAAATTGAGTTTAGAATATTAATATCTTAAAATTTAGGTGTCAAAAAATGATTTATTTATATATATATTTTTATATATACTATGAGTGGGTTGAAATAGAATACTCTAAATTCATTTCTGACCGTCTTCATTTTCTTAAATAAACACCAAACTCGATATCAATATTTTACAAAAACATCCATATCGAATCAAGACGAAGCAAAATCTATCAGTTATTTATTGTTTTACTATCCCTATCAATTAATTTATTTTGTTATAAAATTTATCAAAATAAAAACAAAAAATATGAAAGGAAATAAATAAATCGGGGTGCACCGTGAACAACTCTATTGACTTTTTTTTACAAAATTTATCTTACAAAAAAAGCAAAAAAAAGCAAAAGGTAAAACCAATAAAGAAAAGAATTGCCCTACTATCTAATCAAGTCAAATAAAAATCCGATATGAATTATTGTGTCATTTCTATCTGCTGATTTCTTTTGTTACAATTATCTAATTAAAAAATGAGAAAAACCAAATTAAATTATTACTTGGACAACTCCGATTATAATTTTTCCAAAACAGAAAAATAAAAAACCAAACTAAGTTGAAAGGTTGAAAAAAAGGTATATATATATATATATATATATATATTTATAAAGTGATACATCAACACTTTAAATGAAGATCAAACAAAAGTCAAAATGTGTAAATTTCATATAGTGGATAAATGGATGTATTATATTTTAATTATGAATAAATATAATATTTTTATTAAATTAAAATAATAAATAAAAGTTTTATTAATATAATATATAAATATAAAAAAATAAATATTTTAAAAATATAATTATATATATATATATATACATACTCGGAATAACACAAAAATCCTAAACCTACCTTTAACCAACCTTGATTTTAAAAAAGAAAAAACCTCAACCCTATCCCTAAATTTTAAAAATTAGCATATATTGGATTAAAGCAAATCAAAATTAGTGAGATATTACTTATTTTGTCATTACAACATCTATTGTCTTTTTTTTTATAAAATTTATCCAATTAAAAAAGTCAAAAACTTAAAAAAAAAAAAAAAGGAAATGGCCAAAAAAAAGTCAAATGAGGATGTAAGGTAAATTTATTAAATTAAGATATTAAATAATAGTTTTACTAACATAATACATATATAAATATAAAATTAAAATAAATAATAAATTATGTATTTATATATGTCAAGACGAGATAAAATACCTTAAACTTGCATTTGACTTGATCTTGATTTTTTAGAAAAATCTTTGATTCAATTGTAAATTTAAAAACACACCTATTGGATCTAAAGAAATTGAAACCCACCAAATATAGACCTAACACATAATAAGAAAAATGAATGAAAAAAAGAAAAATACATTTTTAATTAATAATACTAAATGAGTCTCACACATAAAAATTTTTAAAATATGAAATTTTGATTAAATATTAAAAAAGAAAAAAATAAATTAAAAAAAAAGGAAATGTATTGAAGTGTGACATGGCACCCATAAAATGATTTAAAGTATAGTCAAAGAAATGATAAACCAAAAAGAAAAGAAAAGAAAATAAAGCCAAATGAAAGTGGCAAGTGAATTTTTTTAATTAAAATATCAAATAATAATCTTATTTATATAATACATGTATCTATAATTAAATAAATAATAAAACATATATTTATATCATAGATTTAAAAAATAAAAACCAATAATTTTTTTTTAAAAAAAATGGGAATTGGTGTGCTTAGGAAAAAATTTTAAAATAATGATGGGAAATGGCGAAATATTTGTTAAAAATTTTTTGTTTTACCATCTTTATCTATTGTTTTTTTTTTTTTTTTGCATAATTAACTAACTAAAAAACATAAACAAAAGATGAAAGACAAAAATAAAATGAAAATAACACGTAGATACTTCAATTAATCTCATATTTCCACAATTTATTTTATAACAAATAAAAAACTAAAATTGAAAAAAAATATGAACAAAATGAAAAAAATGAAAAATAAAAAATAAAAAGAGAACAAAATAAAAATAATAATGAAAAAATTCATAAAGAGTGTCACATAGACACTCCAATTAAGTTTAAAATATTAATTTTTTAAATTGTGATATCAAATAATAATTTTATTAATGTAATAAATATATAAACATAAAATTAAATAATAATAAAATATATATTTTTATATATACCTTGAAATGATTTAAGATAAACTACTCTAAATATGCTTTGGCTTCGATCTTTTTTTTTTGTAAAGTATTCATTTCATCTTAATTTGATTTCAATAAAAAAAAAAAAAAACCTAGCATCTATTGGATTGGAATAGATCAAAACTCGTTGAATATGTATTATTTAAAATCTCTATTAATCAACACATTATTACAAAATTTATCTAATAAAAAATACAAAAAAACTAAAAAAAAAAATTAAATGAAGATATCACGTGGATACCCAAATTGACTTCTTATTATCATAAAATATATCTAATAAAAAAATCTAAAACAAAAGACAATGTAAAAAGTAAAAAAGAACAAAAACAAAAAATAAAAAAGTAGTTCATTGAAGGCATCACATGAACACTCCCTATTAAGTTTAAAATATTAATTTCTTAAATTAAAATATCAAATAATAACTTTATTAATATTTTATATATAAATATAAAATTTAATTAATAATAAAAAATATATACTTTTATATATAATTTTAATTGAGTTAGGACAATGCAATCTAAACACGCTTTCACCCCAATATCATATTTTATAGAAAACTTAACTTGTTTTAATTTGATTTTTATTTAAAAAATCATCCCATATCTAATTAGTATCTATCGAAATCCGTCAAATATGAATTATTTTGACATATTTATCAATTATCACATTCTATTACAAAATTTATCTCATTAAAAATAAAAAAGGCAACTAAAAGAAAATGAGATACAATGTGGACATCTCTATTGCCTAATTTCTTTAACAAAATTAATTTAATAAAAAAAATAAAAACAAAAAATAAAAAAAAACTTCATTGAGGTATTATGTGGACATATTAATTTTTAAATTAAAATATTAAATAATAATTTGATTAATTAAAAAATAAAAATAAGATCACATGTACACATTTATTTATTTATTTTTAGAAAAATAATTTTATTTAAAATACAAAGAAAGAAAAAATTAAAAAAAGTACAAATAGAAAAAAGTTGAGTTGTTATACCACAAGCAATGATGAATTTTTTTAAAAATTTTATATTCTAAATTTTAAAAGAAGTAAAAATTAAAAAAAATACTAAAAAGAAAAACCAATCCCGATGTGATGTTGACACCTCCACTTTCCTTTTTTTTTAATTATCAAATAGATTCCATATTAAAAAAATTTTTATAAAATATCACAAAAATATTTATTAAATATCAAAAAAGAAAAAAAATTAAATGATTTGATACATGATATATTCTCGATATTAAGTGAGTCCAAAAAACTTAAAATCTAAAAAAATTCATTAAATATATAAAACAAAAAAAAACAACAAAAAAACACATAACATATTACTGGTATCAAGTAAGCTGTATTCAAAATAAATTAAATATAAAAAATATTTATTAAATATTTTTTTAATTTAAAAAAAAATTGATATAAGTGCATCTCAAACAGAGAAAAAAATATTTGAAAATTTATATATTTTTATAATTTTAAAAATATTTGTTAAATATTAGAAAAAAAAATTAAAACACCAAAAAAAGAAAAAAGGCAAAAAAAAAACATGAGCGCAACTCTTGACTGGCCACGGGTAATCCGTGCAAAAGAAATATTTATAATTTGGAAGATTGGATTTCGAAAATGGGTTTTTTAATAATTATTCTTACATTGGAAGATACCATCAAGTTGTATTTCACCATATCTGTATCCAAAATAGTAGAATGCTTAAATACTAAATACTGTTCCTTCCCTTATTTTAAAATTTAGCAGCAGCATGAAGCATTTTTACAAGAGCTAAGGTATTTTCTTCCGAAACAAACGCGTATGTAAAGGACAAATTGTTTAGGCTCTCAAGCTTTCGGCGTATGTTCAGATCTCACCATCCCATAGTTCTTCCAGGGTCCTGTACGCCCCGAATGTTTCATGCACAAACCAACCGCCGCTGATCTGCCTTTCCTGGAAGACATAAAACAAGTAATAAATAATCTGAATATTAGGCCCAATAAAGTAGGCCGACGAGGCCCATAAGAAGAAGATTATCCAGACTGCCACTTGTCCATACATTACACTTGACCAAATCCACGTCACACCTTTAACACATCCAGCAGGATGGAGGCAAAGATATAAAAGACAACAGTGAAGGCTTGGAGGGACATTCCCATTCGGCATTGTCCAACTCCAGTCTCTCCTCTTTGTTATTCACTATTTCTCTTCTCAGGCACATATTGACTTGAGCATCAAATTGTATTCGGTGCTTCGTGACCTTTTTCTTCTCCTTCACAGGTCATACAGGTACACCAGTTTAGCCTCCGACAAACTCTATTCTCACTAGACTAAGAATTACATCAACGCTAAACTAGACCTAAAGCTCAAGTGTTTTGGTTATACGCTATAGATCTACAATAAACCAGCCATGAAAAAAGGATAAGTAACTTACCTGCTCAATTTCAGAAAACTTGACAAACAAGTCCATGGGTATAGACCAATCAAAAACATCAAAGTTTTCTCTGATCCTCTCTTCATTTGTACTCTTAGGCAATACACTATGACCCATTTGCAGCCCCCAACGAAGAGCTACCTGAGCAGGGGATTTGCCCAATTTCTCTGCAACCATATTCAAAACTGTGTTCTTGAGGACCTGCGTCTTGACAGTTTCTGTGCCTGGGGAACCCAATGGTGAATACCCCTGAAACCACAACAGGTAATTCTCTATATATTACACAAGAAACAATGAGTGTTTGGAGACCAATAAGAATAACACATACTACAACATAATAGCACATCCTGAGCCTCCTTAAAGCTTTTCATCTATATGAATCTTAAATTTCTTTAGATAGGTTAACTTATCTGGTAGAAGCAGGCAACATAAATATAAATGTGAATTCCAACCTCATGCTTTGTTGCTTTCATACTATATATATGTATACTCACAGTTATATGAATTCCCTTGGATTCACAGAATGCACGTAGCTTAGCCTGCTGCCAGACAGGATGACATTCCACTTGCAGTACAGCAGGAGTAACATGAGCTACCTCCAACAGATCTCCAAGCTTCTTTGTAGAGAAATTGCTTACTCCAATAGCTCGAACCTTGCCTGTGTCATATAGTGCCTCCATTGCTCTCCATGTACTGGGTATGTCAGGTTGGGTTAGGTTCTCAGGATTAAATCCAACTGTTCCCTTTGTCATGCTGGCAGGCCAATGAATCTTCAAACATTAAACAATCAAATTATCATTCATTAAGAAATGATGAATAAAATTTCCTTCTGTTAGTGAGGCCAAAATGCAAGAAACATGGTTGTGTTAATATTTCTACATACTAGATAAAGATCTAGATAGTTTAACTGCAAGTCTTGCAAGGTACTCTCTAATGCCTCTGGTACATCTTCCGGTGCATGATTATTGCACCTGCAGAAAGTTGTAATTCATCCGTCGGTCCACATGACAAGCCTTAAATACTTGACATAACCTATGGCATCTAAAAGATTTTTAACTCTACACTCAAAAATTCAATTTTGAAATGGCAATTTCATATATGATATATGTAAAACACTTGAAAGGATTTTGAAATTGAGAAAAACCAGAGTTTGGATGTGATCCAAAGATCTTCACGCTTCACAACACCATCTTCAAACAGCTTCTTCAGAACAGAACCAATCTACGTAAACCAAATTATGGGACATGAGTAAATTTTATTTCCTATTATTATCATTCATCAAAATCAAGGCACGGCAAATATAAATTAAACTAAAAATAATAATAATAAAGGAAGTACTACGTTAATGCAAAATTGGCTTAAAAAAATGAAATTCATCCAGGAAAAATAGTTGAGGCAAAAATCATTACCTCTTTTTCATTCCCATAGACTTGAGCACAATCAATATGCCGATATCCAAGCTGCATTAACCCAGAATGATAAGCAGCTATTCCTCTATTTCCCCAACTTTTCATAATAACTTTTTATTTTATTTAATTAGGATCTTTTAGGTACTTGGATTTTTTGAATAGAGGAGTCAAGTAAACACCCCACAGTTTCGGCTCCCAGAAAATTATCCGGAGAGACCCAAATATGAGAATTGAGAAATACCTTGATAGCAGCGGCAACAGCATTGCCAACTACTCCAGGAGCAGCCTGCCATGTTCCCAGTCCAACAGAGGGAATCTTAGATCCGGTGTTCAGTTCAAAGTATGGAATTGCCTGACCCATTTCCTTTTTTTTTCTTTTGTTTATAGAGACATTCGATGAATAGCTTATGGGGACAGCCGCAAAAGTAGTTAGGAATAGCGTTAAAACATGTTTTTAACCTTAAAACACAAAAAGAGTTCGTAAAACGTAAATATGGTAATGGTCTCTCCGTACACGTGTGAGTGATTAGTGGAAGCGTTAAAACATGTTTTTAACCTAGAAACATAAAAGAGTTAGTGCAAGCGAATAAAATTTTTGATAAATCATTTATAAATATATTTAATTTTTGTTTGTTTATAATTATTTATTAAGTTTAATAAATGATCTTAAACATCATTTATACATTTTTTTATTAAACAAATTGAACACAAATAATTATCTATCCATTCATTTATATTTACAAATAAATTTGTTTATAGTTCGTTTAAAACTCATTTTTTTATTATTTGTTTGTTATTCATTTATAATAATAATAATAAAATACATTTTTATCCTTTATCCAAATTCTATTTTAAGGTTTGTTTATGTGTATTTGGTTTGTTTATGTTCGTTTAGGGTTTGTTCGTTTAAATTTATTTGATTATAATTTATTTATTATTTATGAATATATTCATTTATATATGTTTGTGAACATGTTTATTTAATGTTCATGAATGAGCTTATTTAACTTAAATGAATGAATACGAACCGAACATGAGCAATTTATTATTTAAATGAATGAACATATACAAATAGAACAATTTTCTTAACGAATACAAATCAAATATAAAAACTTTTTAAAAATAAACGAATAAACATAAATATAAGTTCATTTGTTTATGTTCGATTTATTTGCAATCTTACATAAATGTGATCCCATCGTACACATGAATACTCAATAGTATGATTGTCCATTTGTCCCGACAAAGGAAAATCTTACTTATGATAGATACAGTTTTCGTGGTTAATTTATGTCAAGGAAACAATTCCCAGGGATATGCTCTTCCAAAGGAACAAGTTTACTTATAAATGAAGATTGGCCCCATAATTTTTATTTATGTTTAATTCATGAAATTTTACATTTTATAAAAGAATATGATTTAAAAAAAAAAGTGATATTAAAAAATGTGTAATTTTTGAATTTTTTTGAATTTAGAAAATATAATATTTTCGTGTTTGGTTTTCGAAAATATAAAATTATCTAATAAATTTTTATACTATATTATCTTTGATAGTAAATAATAACACGTGATATTCATAATATTAATATATAAATAATGTGTTATCATTCCTATGCAGAGAACATGTTGATTGACCTTCGCGTAAGGTCAATGTAAGGGTTAAAAGAGGGTAATAAACCCCTTCTTAAGGTTTTTCGAAACTCTGCCTCGTAAAAAGATTTTATGTGTAATAATATTAAGTAAATATATTTTAAATTTTATATGTAATAATATTAAATTAAGATATTTTACATTTTTTTTTTAAATTTTCAACAAAAATTGTTTTTTTTTTTTTGTTTTAGAAAATCATCTTTATTAGATTTTGAAAAATATATATTTTTATATTTTTAACTAAAATTACGTTTTTTATCTTAGAAAACATTATCTTTATTGAATTTTGAAATATATTTTTTTCATGTTTTCAAAAAAAACTGCATTTTTATCTTAGAAAACATCATTTTTTTCAATAAAAACTATGTTGACTATCTTAGAAACATCATCTTTATTGAAACATGAAAAATATATTTTTCATTTTTTTAACAAATATTATATTTTTATCTTAGAAACGTCATCTTTTCAACAAAGACTGCGTTTTCTATATGAAAAATATCGTCTTTTATTGAATTATGAAAAATATTTTTTTATGTTTTCAACAAAAATTGTATTTTCTATTTTAGAAACATTATCAGTTTTAGATAATTAATTATTACAATTTATTGACATAAAATTTTTTTATATTTATCAAACAATAAGTTTTAGATAATTAATTACTACAATTTATTGACATAAAAAATTTTATATTTATCAAGCACTACTTTTTTTTTTTCATAAAAACGTATTTAAAAATATTTTAAATATTTTGTTCTAAATATTATATTTATTATTACGTTTTACGTTTTCATACTAAAAAATGTTGTTGATATTGCAAATATCAAATTTATTTTGTTATTTTTTTAAAATAATTGATTATGTTTAATATGTAAAAAAATGTAATACTTATAAAAATAAAAACTATAATTTATCAATGATTACGTTTTTATAATAAAATACAAAATTATTGATATAGCAAAAATTTTATAATTATCAAATACTACATCTTTTGCATAAGAAATGTAGTTGAAAGTATCATAAATATTCTATTATAAATATTATATCTATTATTATATTTTCATATTGATATTGAAAATATCTAATTTATTTTGTTATTATTTTAATTGATCAACTAGTTTCATACATAAACAACGTAAGGTTTTTGAAAATAAAAAAAATTTAAAATCTTAAATTTACAGTAATCTACTGCATTTTTTTTTAAAATGTTAGTTTTATTATTTAATCTTCTATATGTTCAATCATTGCTAGGTGTTTAATCATGTGCTAGGAATGTAGTTTTGTCCAATTGTGTGGCTATGAATGTAACTTTTTGTATTAGAATGAATCTCAATTATCACAAAATTATGTTGATTTTCAAATGTAAAATAGACTGAAAAAATTTATTATTGAAGTAAAAAATGAGACAAATTTTACTTTTTTAGGAATCTTAAAAATTCTCAAGAAGAGGTAAATTTCTGATTTCAAATTATTTGAACAATGATGGGAATTTTTAGAATACCCTGGAACTAGATATTGTGAACTAAACCAAAAAATTAGATTACAAAAAGTACAATTCCAGAAATAATTTAGTTTTCCCTTGAACCAAACGCCTAATATGTTTGGTTTGTGAAATAAAATTGAAAAAGAATGAAATTGATATTTTATGGGAATAGAAAATAGGATAAATAAAATTATATATATAATGAAATTTAGTTTATTAGAATGGAATAGAGTAAGAATTAGGATTAATTTGTTTAGTTAGTTCAAAAAATATATATAGAATTAGTTTAAAGATCATTTTATTATTATAATTTTTTATAAAATTAATAATTAATAAAATGAATAAAATATTAATAATAATTCAAAATTATTAATTAATATTAAAAATAATATTTCAATTAATATTAATTTCATAAAATTAAATATTAATTTGATCATATTAAATACTAATTAATAATAATCAATATTAATTTAGTAATATTCAACATTAATTTAATATTATTAAATATTAATTTAATAATATTAACTAATATTCAATAATACTAAATATTATTGAACAATATTAAATATTAATTTAATCATATTAAATAATAAATTTAATCATATTAAATATGAATTAAATAATATTAAATATTTTAATAATATTTTATATTAAATATTCATTTAATAATATTTTAATACTTAATAATATTTTAATATTAAGTATTGAATATTCATTTTAATAATACTTTAATATTAAATATGAATTAAACAATATTTACTATTAATATTATTTTAGTATTAAATAATGATTTAATAATATTTTAATATTATTTAATTGATTTTCAAATATTTTAATATTAGACATTAATTTTTTTAGAAATTTAATATTATTTGAATAATATTTGAATATTATTTAATAGTAATTTTGATAAGATTTTATATTAATATTAATTTAGTAATATTTTACTCCTCTTATCCCATTTTCTTTGCCTATCTTTTTTGAGATGTTCCAAAATTATGTCCTTTTTTTTAACATCTAAAACTCTTACTTTTTTATATTTTAAAATTATATTTAAAATTTTTTTTGACATTAAAAATAATGGAACTTTAATTTTATAAATCTTTTTTAAAAATTTAATATTACATACATTAAAGTAAAAACTTTTTTTTTTTAAACTTTGTGAAAGTAAATACATGACAAATATTTTAAGACGGAGGGAGTAATATTTAACATTACTTTAATATTATTTTAATATATTTTAATATTATTTAACTAATGTTATCTTATTTTATTATCATTTAAAAATTCAATGTTAATAAAATAATTTTAAAAATTTTAATATTAAGTTAATAATGTTTTAATGTTAAATATTATTTTAACAACATTCTAATGTTTTTTTATATTAAATATTAATTTTATAATATTATTTAATTAATTAAGCTAATATTTTGATATTATATAATATTATTTAATTACTTATTTATTATAGTTTAATTTAATTAATATTAAATAATTATCTAATTAAAATTATAATTAAATATATAAGGACAAAATTGTTCATAAATATTATTTTTAATTCTTGATGGACAAAGAAATGCAATTCTTAGAGGAGAGTAAAGAATTGCTATTTCTTGTTTTGAAGGAATTGTTGATCCATAAAATAATTATAATTTACTAAAAATATGAACCAAACAATAAAATTTAAAAAATCATAAAAACAACGTGGGGAAAAGAATTACAATTTTCTCTAACCAAAGATGCTGTTAAAGTGTGAACTAGACTCCGCTACCGGTCACAGGTATGTTGCTTTTGAAACTTTTATATCATTCTTGTATGTTTTATATTTGAGATTATCAAAAAATTTAAATAAAGATCATTAAAATGAAAAATTCAAGGTCCAAAACAATTACGTTGATGAATGACCCGCATAAAGGGATCTTAAATATGCTCTGTGTTTTTGATTTTTTGGTTTCACCTGTCTCTTCTTTTGTTGAATGCTAGAAAGGTTAATACCCGATTGCATTAGCTAGAGCATTAGATTGATGATTGCTCTTTCATCTTCCTCAAATCTAGCCAGCGAGGCTGACAAAATGATGAAGTTTCTTAACAGCCGAAAGCACTCAAGTCAACGTTTAATGTTTAGGTCCAAAATTAGGGCACATTCATGGAAATTCAAGAGAAACGATGGGGCTCTGCATCAGTTGTCAAGTGTTTTAACCCACAGTTATTGCATTTACCACCATCTAGATATTATTTCCCTAGGCAACAAATCAAGCCACTTTTAGCTGTGTCTTAAACTTCCAATGACCCAAACTTGCAATTGGCAACGCAAAT